AATTATTAGGCCTCACCACTTAATCCAACATTTTAATATTTCTGCCACAAATGTATTATTATTCTCACCAACTGGGATGAGGGAGGAGGACTATTAATTGTAACCTCATGTCAGTTGCATTCCAGTTTTGTCACATGCAGCACATTAGATTGTACTGCAGATGTATTTTGAAAAAAAAAATTCACATGTACCCTAATAGGATAATGAGAGTTTTCCAAACTGCATATGGAAGCAACACACTGTATCCTATGATAGAATTAATGTACACAATTATGATCTAATAAAAAATAAATTAAAAAAATTCAATTTTCACAAATTTTTTTCTTTACTTGAGAACTGGAGGTGAGAGCAGGACTTGCATTAAATCAAGAGACAGTATGGAGTAGTAGCTCTGGGCCCAAACTCTCAAACCCAGACCTTTGAGTTCAAATTTCCTTCTCAACTGAAATTTGGGCAAGTTAGTCCATAGGTTTGGGTTTTTCCCATCTATAAAGTCAGCCTGATTATTGAGTCCATAGGGTTGTCATAAAAATTAAGTGAATTAAAACACACAGGCATTTGTACAGCACGAGGCACACAGTCAGCCGCAGTGAACTTAGTTGCTTTGTCATTGTATTTGCACTGAGATCGACCATGTGATCGGCAAACTCTCCCCTTGGAGATGGCAGCTATGTGTGGAGATAATTGTGGCCAAATAGCTGTTTATTCATCCACAATAGAAATAACAGCTACGGGCTGGGCACCTATAGCTCAACCGGCTAGGGCGCCAGCCACGTACACCTAGGGTGGCGGGTTCGAATCCCCAGCCCGGACCCGCCAAAACAACAATGATGGCTGCAACCAAAAAATGGCCGGGCATTGTGGCGGGCGCCTGTGGTCCCAGCTACTTGGGAGGCAGAGGCAGGAGACTCGCTTGGGCCCAGGAGTTGGAGGTTGCTGTGAGCTGAGATGCCACGGTACTCTGCCCAGGGGGGACAGCTTGAGGCTCTGTCTAAAAAAAAAAAAAGAAAAAAAAAAGAAATAACAGCTACGGTGTTCAGATTATTCAAGTCCTTATGACCAGTGTATTCTCTTTCCTATAATTAAGTCTATGTGCAGAGCCAGATAATAATCAGAAGGTTGCTTGATGAGCATGAGATCAGGAAATTTAGATGACTTGAATGTTAATGACATCAGGCCGGAACTTCCTGCCATGTGCATATTCACCAGGTTAGCCTCCCTCGGGCCAACAGGGCACGGAAGGTCTGGCAGTTTACAGGTTACCACCCTTTCCTCCTGAGACAATGCTGGGACAGCACAGCCACCAGATGTCTCAGTGTGCACCTTTCACGGCGTCCACGTTTTGATCAGCTGGATCTTCTATTCCTCAGCTACGTTAACACAGAAAGTCAGGTTAATGTCACCTCTTGTCAAGTCTGTCACATACGCTCAGGCTCTAGCCCTGCTGCTGCTCTAACATGACGTTAGCTATCTCTGCTTGGACCATTCTGATGATTTCACAGCATACTCCTGGGAAGGCAATCTTATTTCCCTCACTTTCAAGTTCCTAGGAGATAGCTCCCCACACCTCCCATCAACCGCAGCTGAACCAGGGGCTGAGGCTGGAAGGACAGTGGAAGTAATGCCCCTGGAATACCCATGAGTCTGGGGAATGTTTTCTCCCTCATTACCTACCTCTTCAGCTGAAAGACGTTCTTTTGGAGTTAGGGCTCCCAGGGGCTTCTGTCTGGCTATAAGAAGATCTAGTCACCTACTCGATGGGTATTTTCAAATCATCTATCACAACAGTGATATTTTTTCCCCTTGATTTGAAGCATGCCAAATCCTTATCCCTTCTGCTTCCTTCCTGATGAAAAGTTGCTGAACCTTGCATTGATTCTTGGAAGGAGTTATGGCTTTCAGCACTGCCTTAATCTCCTTCTGAAGATCTAGGTATTCATTTTTGAGATCTTCATCACGTTGATTCTTTAAGCTTAACTATGTAACCCTTTTGCTGCTGACTTGGTTTCAGTGGTCAATAAAAAATTTTTTAAAAGAAGGAGAAAATACTGCATTATTGCATTAAATAATTCTGCTAGGTTCTTACCCTTCTAATTGTAGCAGAATACCTTTAAAACAAACATGAAAATAAACGGGGGGCCAGGGAAGGCTGGTTAAAGAGAGAGTATCTCCAAGTACCCACAAGGCTAGCTCCCTTCTCATCTTAGTAGCACATGGTGGCATACCGGCCTTTGGTTTACTCCAGGCGCATCTCTCTGGCTGAAGCAGCATTTCTATAGTCAGAGAAGTGTTACTGTTATAAACGTAAACTGGATATTGCAGAAACTCCTGGTAAAGCTCAGGCATCCCCATGCTCATTTCCTCAGCACCAGCTTCGCACTGTCTCAGACAGGGACAGGGAATCACAGGCTCCACTGTTGCCTATAAAGGGATTGACTTGGACACGGCACTTGTGTCTCTTTATGCCCCTTCTGTCAAATGAAATGCTTTAATAAGATTATTTCTTAAATCCCTTTCAGCTCTCAATTTTTTATCTCTCTTTCTGAGTTCGCTTGCCTCGTATCTTCCTTCCTTTCCTCCCTTTTCTTTGAATCTACTAAACATCTGTTTTTCTTTCCCAAGTATTTTTGAACTTGGTACAGAGGTAGATTTAAGCTAATGAAGATTAAACTTCAGGGTCCCTCGCTGGACTCCTTCTAAATTAAAAAAAAAATCAATTTCATATCTAATTTTGTATTTTAATATTATATTCTTTTTTTTGTTGTTTTGCAGTTTTTTTGGGGGGGGGTGGGGCCAGGCTTGAACTTGCGGCACCTGGTATACGGGGCTGGCGCCCTACTCCTTGAGCCACAGGCACCACCCTATTATATTCTTTGTCATGAAGAGACCTCTCAGATTTGTATACATGGCATACTTCACATTCTACAAAATCTGTACCTTCCCCTGGGCGGGATAGGAGAAAAGACAAATACAAATAAGCATATCAAAATAGGAGTTTAAAAGGAAAATCTGAGAAAAGGCACAGAAAGAAAATAGGCCCAACATTAAATGCTAAGTAGTCTCCGCAGTTGAACATCAAGCTGAGCTCTGAGCCTCTCAGTTCCATGAAAGGCAGAGCAGTGAGAGGGGTTTGTACATTACTATCAGAGAGGAGGACGTGTTCGAAGATGGCATTTAATGTTATTAACAATGAGGATTAAAAACACAATTAATATTCAGCAATCCTCCGCTCTGAGAAAGATCTCAGAGGGGAATGCTTTATAGCAGACAAAATGATACGTTGACCAAAAGTGGTATTTTCACAATGGCAGTCACGAGGAAACAAGTAACATATTTTTGCTCCAATATTCATGGAGCAATTCTGTTATCAGGCATTGTCCGAGGCGGACAGGAGAGACTGACAAAGAGCCCAGACATAAGAGTTTGAACCTTCAGGCGTGTCAGGGAAACACAAAAACAATTAAAAACTAAGCTGATGAATTGATCGTGGAGGCCTGCACAAAGCAGAGAAGAGCTAACCCCCAGCAGGGACCTGGGGAATGAAGGGAAGAAATAACTTCCCAGCTCAGTTTCAAAGGTAAAAATATTCTTTACATCATAGTTGCTCCCTCCCAGGGAATGTTTCAAAACGGCAAACATTGCCTAGACATTTTTTTTCGGAGTCCAATCTGACTCTCATTACCGTGGCTTCTGGGCACGGCAGCTGTTGGAAAATGGAATTGAATTCATTCATTCATTTCTCCCAGACCCCCAAGTCACCTCACCTTTTGTGAACTGAATAGTTGCAATTCATTTCTGAGGCTTCCCGCCTTATTTCCTTGAGTGTTTGAAGGATTTCTTTGGGCTTACCTGTAGCCTTTTTAAAGAATGGGGGTGAGTTTGCTAATTTATGTAATCATCTGGAAGAGACCCCCAAACAAGGTAGTTGGACATGATAACAAGAAGCCTTAAGAAAAAAGAATCACGTGAAAATACACTGCCAGACATCCCTTGGTGTTCAGATATTTTCAAAGTCAAAAATCTCTATTCAAATGAGCAGTTTAAAAATCTTTTCTAAGCAATTCCCATTCTGCAGCAGTGGAATCGAAAGTGATTCATCTGGCAGCACCTCAAAAAATGGTAAGCCACAAAATCAGGAAAAATCTGCATTTTAAGCACACACTGTTAGGTAATAGGAAACATCTTCATGAGAAAAACAGAATCTCATAATAGCCTTGCCTGGCGAGGTTTGTGTACTCAGCGTGAACATTGTTCCCTTGCACTGGTATCCCCAAAGGATGGGAGAAATTTCTGCATCTTTCTGAAGAATTCAGCTACACTACGTACTGCATCAAACAGTCTTGCGGGCTTGCTCTCCATCGTGTCTAGCAAACACCCGGTGAACTTTGCCTTGCATTATGCATGGCCCTCTAACTCTGTGTAAGTTTGGAAACACATGAAAAGTCTCCTCCTGCCATCCTAACTTCCATTCTCTTTGATGGATTACAACGGGCAAGCAGTTCTTTGCAATGGAGCAGGATTTTCAATCCTGGGGAAATTTGGAGCTTCTGCCATTGATACTAAAATTATGATGCTGCCATCGTCCCTCACTCAACAGGGGATTTGCAAAAGAAAAAAATAATAAGAAAGATTCGGTACCAAGTCACTGTCATGCTGTGGCAAAGATACTCTACCTAAGTGGCAGGTCAGAAATTCAGCAGGCCTTTGCGAAAATTGCATTCGGCTGGAAAGTCAGTTCATCGGATAGAGTTAAAACGTGGAAATAGAAACTTAGGTTTCCACGTGGGGTTGACCCGTGCTCAGTAATTAAGAGGAAGCACTGTAAATGCTGAGCATTTAACATCAAGACATTTTTAATACACCTAACACCTGAAAATAAAATTTCATCCTATCTTGTTTTTTAATTAAATCATAAAACCAGCACATTGTACCCCACGACTGCATTAATGGACACACCTATCCTGTTTTTAAAAAAAAATCATAGCAAACCTTATTTCTTCATTCTCTTCTCCTCACTAAGAAGTAGGAAAATAGCTCTCGGCTTTGGAGAACACAAGGCTAGAAATCTTTGAGTAAGGTACAATGACTAGTTAACGTAAGCAGAGGGCAGTTGTTGAAAGATAAATACTAAAATAGAAGCTTAGAAACAGTTGCCACCTTTTACTTACAGCTCAGCGATGTGGAGGACAAGTCTGAACAGCTCATTAAAAGCTATCAATTATTGGCTGCATACCATGTGCTAGACATTTTTATGGATTATCTCATTCAATCCCCGCAGCAGCCCTATGTAGGAGATATTATCAGTCCCTTTTCAGATGAGGAAGCAGATACACAGAAGCTGGGGGACTTGCCTAAAATCACCCAACTCTTCAGTAACCAAGCAAAACTCTCCACTCAGGTCTACCGGATTCCCATCTCAGGCTCCCACTCACGGTGCTACCCTCATCTAGGGACAAGAGTATAAATCTCTGGTTTTTAATTAGCAAGAGTCTAAATCTCTGGTGCTGCTTTACGAGGCAGCTACACCAGTAAAACTCATTATAGCAAAGATAGATACAGCACATACTACCCGTCACCCAATGTTCTGAGAGCTTTAACTCTACGGTTTACAAACTCCTCTCAACAACCCCATGAGGTAGGAAACTGAGCCTCTGAGGCCCCAAGGTCACACAATCAGTGAAACTTAGGAGTTAAACTCAAGCTGCAAACCCAGACATCCCAGCTCATGAGCCTCTGCCCTTGGTCACAACCCATGATTGCTTGGTTAGGAGCTTTAATCTGGGTACAGACTAAATTCAGGTTCACATTTCCACCAAGTCCAGCCACATTTTGAAATGGTCCCACTGCCTTAGAGCAAGTTATGAATTAAAATGCAAGCTGAAAAATCAATGCTGTCCATGATCGATGTGAACAACCTAATGTATTCTTGAATGATTCTGCTCAATTAGTTCCTATTATGGAGTTTAATCCACATATCTGACAAGTAAAAGAGGAATAAAAAGGATGGTGCTGTGAAATTAATCAAAGAAAGTGCCGGATAATACAGCTCACACATGCTTCCCAACACGTTTAAAAAGATCTGCTGCATGTGTGGGTATGTTTTGAGAGGTCCACACGGTGTCTATTTGGTACTCTCTGCCCGGAATGTAAGCCTAGCTCAATATCTGTTTTGAACCACATGCAAATGTTAACTTCACATGCAAGCATGAAATGGGTGCCGTCACAAGGCTTTCTTGAACCAGCTGTTGAAATCAAGCGTTAACTTCTCAACTCCGATGAGCCCAGGAGTTCTAGAATGAAAGAAAAATGGTTTCTAAACTGAATCCATACATGCTGGATATTCGGAGTGTTTTCTGTTTCCATTTCCTAGTGGCGTGAGTGTTAAGTAATGTCAAATGACTCAGATTTGTAGATGATGCTGAAGATGCCGGGTGCTAACCCACAGCTAACAGCCTGTCTTTATTGTTTTCTTTCCCTCCAGGTATCCCCAGTATCTCCAGTATCGGTAGTAAGTAAAACACTCACCAAACCCAGTGTAGGCTAGCTTCGCTTTGTGGCTCAGCTCCTCAGAGCTATTTTCCCAGTGTCCATTTCTGGTGTCATAGGGGGCTTTCTTTGTGACTTGCATTTTTGTGTTAATTTTCTGCCCAGATAATGCTACAGGCACAGATAAAGTAGCTATTTATGCCTAAGACTCCTGTGGAGGTGGCACTGCCAATGTTTTCCTGACTCCTTTTGACCAATGAAGGCCACCGGGACAGAGGTGCAATTACTTAGATAACCGTAACCTATTTAGCAAAAATACAAATAGTCCTATTTACCCATCCTTAGTAACCGACAAACAAATTGGACTCTCTCTCTCCCTAGGACTGGATGTGGATTTCCAGTGTAATTTAGAAAAGCAGAGAATGAACGCCTTGGGCATATTCATCAGAATTCAAGGGAAAGGCTAGGAGATTGGGGAAAACGAATTTTGTGAATGTATTAAGCGCTAGACTTTGTAAAGGCCTGAAAGAGGCAGGTTTGTGAGCACGCGTGTCTCTGGAGGGATAAAGGGGAAAGAGAACCAGTACCTCCCTTTCACCCTCCCAAATTACCATGAGTCGTGTCTCCTTGACTACTAAGGTTTAAGTTTGGTAGAGAAGGGGTATAAAAAAATACATGCAGAATTTAGGATTCAGAGTGCTAGAAGATCCTGCTAGAAATCGAAGCAATTAAAGAGAAATCCCCCTCCAAGCCTCTGAGGAACACGTCTCCATCTCACCTCAAAGAATGTTCTCCCAGCCTCAGTGGGAGAACCAGGCTGTCTGTCCCTGTGCACGCAGAGCAATGATACCCTCGCACCAACCCTGAAATGCTCGGCAGAAAGTATCTTTTCAGAACAGAATTGTGCATGTTTTTATATATTGTACCCTTTATCTCCGATGGCTAAAACCTGGTAACAAAAGCTGAATAACTGATTCGAAATAAAGTCCCGAGGAAGCCAAGATAATGCACTGTAAGGGAGGCGTTTTCACTGTGGTGTCATCCCTCACAGGCTCGCACGGTAGTGCTGTGCCAAGCAGGGTGATCGCAGTATAAATAGCAGCAGTTGAAGAATTACGATACCCAGCATCCATCTAAAACGCGGTATTCCGATAATTCGGATAAAACAACTTCCTACTTCTTATAAATGCACAGTCAGGTCCTTCAATGTATAAATCCACCCAGTTGACTTAAGCTGGGGAATAGGCCTGGATGCCGATTGTTAACAACTCGATGTGGTCAGTGCCGTGAACATCTGCTACTCTGCACGTAGAAACAGTGTTCACGTCCATTTAGATCCCAGCCTGGTGCTACAGCGTCTTGTTGAAACATTATCAGTGATACACACTTGCAGATGGGAACGCTGAGCTCGAATAGTCTGATTTTTCTGCTTTCGTTCCCGCCTTGGCATTGGCCTATCAGAGTACACACGCCACGAGGTGCTCCTTTCAGGCCTTGACAACCGCATTTGCACCTGCGTTTTAGAGCAACCGGGAACCAAAGGCAGGGAAGCCGAGACAAGTTATTGAGCCTGCTCTAGTGGTCTGGCCCGTCACAAGTTTCAGAAATGGATGGATGGAAAAGTAGTTCTTTGGCGCTGGGGTGTCTTTCTGTTGGGAGTGTCCGTCGTGTGTTGCATGGACCCTCTGACTGTCCTGCTCACCCCACATCCCATCCAGCCGCCTCCGCCACATCCCCCATCTCTGAGCATCAGCAGATGTTGACCTTTTACACACCGAATCAGGAAATTCTGGCTTGTTTTGGCTTTGTTTTATTTTCAAATCAGTGGTGACCTGAAAGGATGCTTTGTTGTGCCTTTGGAAAATGTATCAACCTCTATGATCAGGAACCTAGGAAAATTTAACTTCTAATACCTAACAAAACCCCTCTGACTAAAAGCGAGAGCTTGTAACTTATCTCTAGTCTGCCTCTGGCTATTCTGCTTGGAGTGCAAAGGGCGTTTTCTCAGATTTCCAGCAAGCAGGAGTAAGAGCTTCCAGGGGTCACCCAACATCACCCGAGACTAGCTTACCTACTGCATGGCTTTTAAGGTAAAGGGATTTACAATAAAACCATCCAGCGTGGTTGTATCTCCTAGACTGCTTTAATGGCATTCACAATTTCCTTCTTTGTGGACTTAAAAGGTGCTTGTTGTGTGCTCCGGTGGATTCCTCTCCTCTCCAAGGGGCAAGAATTCACACGCAGAGGACTCACTGCCTGTTCTAGAGGGCAGAGGAATGGGGTTTTCAAGGTGCAATCCATCAAAGAAGAGGCTGCTTGGATTTTTAACTAAGTTTGGGTGTTTGCCGGGGCTTCTTCCATTACCCCAAAGAAGGAATGAATGAATATAATTCCATGACTATATAGGAAGATACCATTATAGCAGATGTAACACCGATGAGATTCTGATCATCAATGCATTATCTCAAGGAGAATAATGTATACCACCAATATAAATTATTGACGTATGTGACCATAAGTTTACGTACACATGCTATATAGGTAGTGACTAAAGATTTTGGAGCCCTAATCGATTTCAGGAGAGATCTCCAAATGTCCATGCCTGTACTGAGGTTCAAATGCTTGTACACTGTGCTCATCCTTTCTGATCATCTGCTAAAAACGTTGTTGAAACAAATTTTCCATTAAGGTCATTTGTAGCTGCTGTTGTCTATCTATACAGAAAGAGGTTTCCCAGTCATCCCAAGGGTACTCAAGTTAAAAATTCGTCATTTTGATGTGCTTTGGCCATGGCTGAGAAAATGCTGGTGGTACTGTCAGCAATTAATGAATCCCAAAATAAATCTGTAGCCATTTGAGCCTTATGATCTATGATTTTACTTTATCTGATGTGGTAGGAATTCATTCCGATTCCATTATTTCATCAAATGTATGATGCAGTTACAAGGAAACAGTCACGATTTTGTTCAAGGGAACATTTGTCGATGGTGATGAGCCAAATTAACAGTCGACTTGGTGTGGGCGTTTTTTGTTAAAGTCGATAAACTGGTCATTACCTTCTAACATATATGACTGATCTCTGGTCCCGGAAAGCAAATAATTTCACAAATTATGTAAAACAGTATATCACACATATAAAGAGCATAACTAGACCAGCAAGGACTGTCCTAATGTGCAAATAGATCTGCGTGGGTGTTTATCACTTCCTACAAAAGCAGAAGACAGACCGCTTAGAGGTTAAAAGGTGGCCCCCAAACAAGAGATGACATCAAGAAAGATACCTTCAAAAACCTTGGAGTTTTTAAATACATAGAAATATTGCTTAGAATACCATCAAAAGAAAAGAGAGATGCAAACATTTTGTTACGCTGGCTATAGATTGTTTCCTTAAATTACTTTCAAATGACTGGCATGACGGTTTAGAAGGAGGTGTTTTAGAATATTGATGGAGGTGTTTGGCCATCCCTGTCCCTAACTCCCAACTTATCCAATTTAAAACAACATTTCACTCAAGGGAAATATCCCATTTTCTTGTTTTCTCTTATAATGAGCATTTCCTTCATCACAGAGGTAAAAATTCATCTCTAATTTGATTTAATTGGCAGGACTTTTAAACAAGAGAAATGTTACCTGCAGGGATCCATCAGCCTGTTGTGAAAGCCTAGCGATGTTTTCATACTTGAAAACATTGGAAGCCGGTTGGAGACCTTGTAAAAGTTGTTTTCCAGACAGCATCCAAATATTTTTGTGCAGTACCAATTTATTGTAGAAACCTGGATCGTGAGGAAAATAACAAGGTTAATCATTTTGCCACCCAAGGGTTATTAATAATCATGTTCATGCTATCCAGAGAGCTCCAGTGTTTGTTTGGGGATTTTTTTCCCCTTTGCTTTAATACTTCTAAATCCCCCAAATAAAACTTTCATTTGAATTGCCCTTTAACTAATTAGGTTTTATATAATGAGGGAAAGAAAAATTATCAGGCTAGTGTAGCAACATGGCAAATTGCATGGTGTGCTACTTGGATTTTGAGCTGTTTGCTGATGTTCTAGAAGGAAAGCTAAGGTCCCAGGTGAAATGCCCTGGGCATGGTTATGTTGCATACCCCGTATCCTTATCACAGAACCATTTCATATGTGTGTAACTAGCATTTCACATTCATGAAAGCATGTGGTTATCCTAAAGTTGAATGAGCATTAGGACATAGCTGCCTCTTTAATCCTGAATTTAAAAATCAAATATTCCAATGGAGGAAAGGGAAAGGATCTCCTATTCAATAAAAGAAAAAAAACAAAAATAAGATTTTTACCAATCTTTATGGACAATAGTTGCCCACCTTGAGCAAATTAATGCATTATGCATTACCCTTTCCCCAGGTAAATTTAGAATGCCAAAGCACTCTTTAAGTGTGAGCTGATATCTCTGCCTTTGTTAGTCATCTCTGCGGGGTTAGTAAATTCCTAGCTTCAACAAAGATTTGTCCGTATCTCCGAAAGGTCACATGATAAAACTTCAAACATGTTCATTGTGAATCCTCACACAATAATGGTCACTTCATAGGTGTAGGGATCAAGTGAAGTCTTCTTGGACAGTTGTCCACCTAGCCACTCCACTGCCTGCGAAAAGTCAGGCAGAGCTTTTTGCTTGAAATGGTAGGGAGACGTTCCCCTGTGTCTACACTTCTATTTTACAAATGGTGGGTCTGAGGCTCAGAGTGGCCATGTGACTTGCCCCATTTAACATAGGCAGGGATGCCTATCTGACTCCAAGGGCTATGCTCATAACATCATACCAAGAGATGAGAAAAGTTCTAGATTTATTAACTTATACCCACAGCTCTTTCCAATCCATGACACTGTGCCTTAGAAACCAGTTGAGTCTTGAATTAATCCATTTCTCTTGAGGAAATATACATTGAGGTAGACGAGAAGCATGTAGATATCGTGTGTGTTGTAGAACATGAAACAGTTCATGAAATTAGCAAATTGTGAAATATGCTTATACTTATTTTGCAACGACAGACCGAATTTTTTCTTTATTGAGATAATTGCTGATAGCAAAACAATTCTGTGTGCCATCAGAAGAGGAGTCCTGTCACTGTCACATTAAACTGTACCTTCCCCACCGGTTTAATAATGTGTTTCTCAGAGTAGGCAGCTAGCTGTGACGATGGTAAGATTACCTCTGAGGCTCTGGGGTTTTCTCCCGGAAAGCTTTAGAGCTTCCTGTAGATTCCGTTCTTGGCATTAATAATGCTATTTCCCTATTTCCTGAGGGACAACAGCAGTGACTGCATAAACCCAAAAGGATCTTGTGATTTTTTTTCTCCACCTGATGTTCTTTTCATATGCCCCAGAAGAAGGCTATGTAATGAGGGCTCCCTCACGTGCTCTCAGCAATGGCCCTCCATAGCGTGGTAACACCCTGTTTCTCACAAGGTGCCATATTTTAGCTTCAAAAAATCACGTAAACGCAAGAAAATCACGTTGTTTGGAAACTTGCATCACAACTCATCCAACATCCTCATTTTACAGATAAGGCATCTAAGCCTTCAATAAATGTGTTTAAAGCATCTGGACAATAGCTGAGGCAGGACCACAGCTCCATGTCCAATTTCCAAATGACAACTCTTTCCCGTTCTGCTGTGACATTAGATTTCACCTCCTCATTTGTTAAATAACTGAGGTATGAGATGGTACACAGTAGACTATATGAGAATAAAGTCAGTCAACTTGCCTTTTGATGGGAAAGCATGGTCACCTTGTACTCCATCCTTAAACAGTGCCCACAAAGTGACTTGAAAGCTGCCTGCAGTTCGTGCTTGGTGAACACCCTGTGTCACAGAAGACAACTTGGTATTCTAAAGTGACCCTAGCTCCATAGCTTTCTTGGTGTAAATACAAAGTCTTTAGCTCTCTGCTTCAGGTTTGGTTCTCCATATGATTCCCTATGGCCTCAGCACTGGGTGGCCAGGGTTGGCAATGCTGATGGAGTTGTCTCCAACTCACAGCTCAGATAGTGTTCCCTGGGGCACAGAACAGAAAACTACTTTTATCCCAGAGCCTCATTTTTTATAACTGAATCCACTTTTACTCATTCCATAGATTTCCATTGCTATGTAATAGGTTTGGGGAACTCTTAAAAAAAATTGGGAAAACTACATATTTGATTCATATTCTAAGCTGATGTGCTTCCAAACCAAAAGAAAACTGGAAATTAATAATTCTATGTCTTTTAAGATTTAAAAATAGAATATTGCCTACAGTGTTATAAAATAATTTCTGTTGCTTTCTGGACACTAATAATTAATATAAGTCCCAGAACTGGATTATTTGCAAAAGTAAGCTATATCTGAAGCGAGTGTGTTTACTCATCAGAATCACTTGCTTTGGAAACAACTAACATTGCAAGAAAAAAATAGGGGGAGCACATTATTTTCCCTACTTTAAGTCACTAACCACGGTTTATACCACAGTACTCTGATTTTTATTACAATAGCAACCACACATAGAATGTGCGAATATTTATTAAATGCTCACAATAGTGCCAAGCAAATATTAGCTCATTCAGTCTTGACAACAACGAGTTAGCATAATTGGTTAGGTGGTAGAATTGTCCAAGTGGTAGAATTGGGATTCCAACCCAGCCTGACCTCCATTTCCGTATCTAAACTATCTTATACGCTGTATCTTAAATAAATCCCACCTAAATAGATATTTCCTCAGCTTCCCATAGATGTAACTTGAAAATTCAAAATAGCTTCTGATGGGCATGTCAGATAATTTCTTTATTTTTAAAGGAAGAAATTGTGGGGTATGTGACTGTAGTCTCCATACCATACACAGTCTTTGGAGTCTAGTCAAGGCAAATTCCACATGTGTGGAACCAGGGCCCTTCAGAAGAAGTGATTTTTATGAAAGAGTGTCCCTAAATGATTAGCCACCTATGAGCACGTGGTGATCCCTCCGCTCACTTTGATAATAATTTCTCAACTTCAATTTGGGTTTCACTGAAGCAATTGAAAGATCCATAGTCAAAGAACACAACAATAATTTCCCCATCTTTCAGGGAACTCTTGATCCCCCAGATTCCCCAAAGGGCCTCATCTAACAGGCTTCATATTTCCCTGAACTTGACTGTGATGCTGCCAGGCCATGAAAAAGAACCCGTAATGATAGAACTTGACAGCTGAGAATAACCATAAAGATCTGTTATCCAGTATCTATATCTTATAGAAGGAAACAGGAATCCAGAGAAATTAACAGCCAGACCACTCCTCCCGGGCAGAGCTGGGACCAGACTTCCCTTCTGACTCCAGGTCCCTTGGTCTGTAGTTAACTACCACTCTGAGACCTTCATGTTGACCCAAAGATTCTCCCTAGTTCATCTGTGAAAATAAGGAAATTAATAAATTTTGCAACAGTTCACCCAAAGAGGCAATACAAATACTTTTGACATACTTCTTTTTTTTTCTGTTTCCAATTCATAATTACTTGAAACAAGGGCCCCACTGGCTAAGAATTTTCAGAAGCTTCATATTATGCAAAGACTTTCATTAGAATTGGATATGATAAGATAGAATCCGCCTCAGTTATACTATTAATATCGTTTCCAATGTGCCTAAATTACTTCTGGGAATTAAACATTTCTTAGTAACATTTGTTGAATATTTACTACACATCAAGATCTCAGAGTTAAAATAGTAATCTGAGAGTAATTGGCTAATTTTGTTTTCTTACTTGGCCTTGTAATTATAAAAAAATTTCTTTTAATTAATGTGAAATATTAAATTAAAAATCTCATGATGGCCAATTATTAAAATATGTAAGTGCAGAGAGTAACCCACTATAGGAGTTTGGAGATACAAATATTAATAGTCATTTTTTCAAGACATTTTTTGTCCTAAAAAAAAACACACAGAACATAAAATTCTGAGCCATCAGAGACATGTATAGATTAGATCAGGATTTCCACATGATGACTGGTGTAGGTTCTGAGTTTTAATTGTACAGGAAAGTTAAGAAATCCTACATAATAAAAATTATTTGAAAAAATGTCTGATTATATTCCCAGGCAAAAATAAGGGCTTTTTCTGCCCAAGAAACTGTTTCAGGATAGCTGTATCTCCTGTATCTGAATACAGGAGAAAATTGTGTTCTAGTTAGGGAACAGATTGTTACTGAGGTGCCTATCTTGAGAAGTCCATACAGGTCAAGTAGTCTTAGCAATTCAAAACTAGAATGACCTACATTAATATTTTAATACCTATAAGAATATCCTTAAACCGAAACCCCAGCATCCTGGGGGAAAAAATCATAAAACACTAAGAAATAAGCTAGACTAAAATATGGGAATAAACATGTATTTAATATATTGGAATATGGACTAAAGTTTAATTTATGCAGGTAATTTTCAGAACTCATTTCCAAATTGATTTTATGTAAAATATTTACATTGCTTAAATTTCCTGGCAAAGGTTAATGACAAAATAATAAATCATGTTATTGCTTTCATGTCTTCAGACAAAACAAATCACTAAATACTTAACATGAAACTTACAAACATCCCACCCCCACTCATGATCTACAACAGAAAAAGATGGAGAGAACTATTATTCACCAAACTAAGATTGTCTTAATTTGATGCTGAGAATACATGCAAGTATATTTTAAAGTATAACCATACCAAAAATTTGGAATCTTTTTAAATAAACAAGTCTAGGAATACAGATATTAATTCCTCCAAATGCAAATTTATAGTTTTTCAAAGCTGATCATCACAGATCAAGTACGCCTGTTCTATTAATTGGACATCTACCCCTCATTAAAATGCTTAAGTGAAAACCTACATTCAGTCAATAATTTGCATATTTTGCCTACGTGTTACCAAATATTTATTTGTTTAGTAACACCTGGATACCGTTGTAGAAGCCTACTGCGTTCTTTTTTCATTCATAAATTTTGATATAGTTATATCAATATTGAGATTTCCTTTGCTTTTGTGCATACGTATTACAGCAGAGAGAAACAGCAACATCTCTGTTAGGTCTATGAGGTCAGTTTTTCTAACAAATATTTAAAAACAGAAATTATCACGAAAGTCCCATGTCTTGCAAGAATGTTATGTGCTGTAATCTAATTATGGAAGAAACAATCTGATAATACCTGTTTACAGCAGCCAATCCACTTGACATCAATTTCTCAATTATCAGATATTTACGGAAGCCCTTTGCAAGGTTTTGCCCTTCCTCAAAGAGATCCAACCTAATTAGGAAGAAGAGAGATAGACCTATAAAATTTTAACTGGCAATATTAAAACTTCCACCTGTCCACATATCAGAGGGAGAGAAATTAAGAACACCAGAGGTAACGTGCTACAGGAGTTCAGGGGCAAGAACCGACCTGGTAGACTTGAGTGGTCCCAAAGGCCAAGACAAGAGATGGGGTTTGAGCTGAACTCGACGAAATAGCTGCTTTCACGGTCATGGCCCATGTACCTTAACGAAAATAATTTTAAAGCATCAAATCCTAAGCCTGGCTATTCTCCAGCCTTCCATAGGTTTGTTTTGTTTTGTTTTGTTTTGTTTTATTTGTAGATCCAAGAGAGAAATGATATCAATTCTGAAAATGAATGCTTTTGATTATTTCAGGATTAGAAACCATAACTCTAGAAAGACGTCTTAAGCATCATGAAAACATATACACACCCATCCATACAAACCTCAGGCACCTTTGGAAGCACCTTCCACTATTCTGTGTAAGCCAGAACGACCAGCAATCCCTCTTTCCCTCTCTGAGAAATTGCACATATAAAACTAGGAAATAGATCCACATCTTTTCAGAGATAATGGCTCACACTTAAAGCGTACCCCCAAAGAATCTCTCAGGAAAGACGAATGCAGCCAGTTCATATCTGTAAATATAAATTGAAGAGAATGGAATCCTCAAGTGAGACATTATTTCTTTAGTGTTATCTTCTAGTTACAGGCACCAGCTTTCCATAATGGTTTGGATAGCTGACGTCCCTATTTGATTTTTTGTGCAAAAAGATTCTACCTTATTTCAAAAGTAAATGTGTGGCTCGGTTAGGGAAGTAGCTATATATTTAATGTGCATTCAATGTTTTGGGAATCATCAATTGCTTGCTCTTGTTCGGTGTGGAGTCATGTTTTGTTTGCATCACAGCCAAGTTAAAGAGCAGATGTGTGGTTTGTGTCTTTGTCCATATAATTTTCTGTTTAGACCAAATGACATGATAGCTGAAAATAACATACCCTGATTTTTCCTGATGCATGCAGCTCCTCCAAAGTTTAATAGGATATGGCCGAATATTTCTTCCCTTGAGGGTTCTAACCCAAAACAAGGTAGGAGCACGTAAAATTCCTACTGATATAAAATCCCACGTGTTTGGGGGAAAATCCTATATGTCATTTTTTTTTTGCACTAAATAAGAGCATTATCATGAATGCCATGTCTCTGAAAGAATCGAATCTTTTTTCTAATATGAAGAGCATCCCAGAAAGATTAGCGTGAAGGATGGAGGGGGAATTAGATGGTGTAGCAGTTATAAGATTTACACTGAATATCAGTGAGTCCCAAGGGAAGCCTAAAGTTCTGTTGTCATCACAGTGTGGAGTATAAATAAGCCTTAAAAACTTGTGAGTGGCGTGGGAGTCCTTTCAATGTCTCCTTCTAACTTTTCTTAAACAAGCCAACAACCACCTCAGTTGTGTGAAAGGTCCGGGAAGAGACAGAGAGGAGCCCCGTGACACCCAACAGATCTTGGTTCTCTTACTGTTGATCCATATTAATGTGCAAAAACCTGAAGCCTTCTCTCCCTCTCTCCCTCCCTTACTCTGTGTCTCCCTGTCTCTCTCTCTAACTCTCTCTTTCTCTCTGATTCTCTCTCTGTGTGTCTCTGTCTCTCTCTCTCCCTCTTCTCTCTTTCTCTGTCTCTTCCTCTGTCTCTCTCTCTCCCCCTCCTCTCTCTTTCTCTATCACTCTCTCTGTCTCTCTCTGTTTTTCTTTCTCTGTGTCTCTCTGTCTCTCTCTCCCCCGCCTCTCTCTCTGTCTTCTCTCTCTCTCTCTCTCTGTTTCTCTTTCTCTGTGTCTCTCTCTGTCTCTCTCTCTCCCTCGTCTCTTTCTCTCTGTCTTCTCTCTTTTTTGCTCTATCTCTCTGTCCCTCTGTGTGTGTCTCTCCCTTCCTCTCCTTCCTCTCTTTCTCTCCGTCTCTCCCTCTCCTTCCTCTCTTTCCCTCTGTCTCTCTCTGTCTCTGTCTCTCTCCCTCTCCTTCCTCTCTTTCTCTCTTTTTCTCTGTCTCTCTCTGTCCCTTTCTCTCTCCCTCTCCTTCCTGTCTCTCTCTGTCTCTCCCTCTCCTTCCTCTCTTTCTCTCTGTCTCTCCCTCTCCTTCCTCTCTTTCCCTCTCTCTCTCTGTCTCTGTCTCTCTCCCTCTCCTTCCTCTCTTTCTCTCTTTTTCTCTGTCTCTCTCTGTCCCCCTCTCTCTCCCTCTCCTTCTTGTCTCTCTCTCTCCCTCTCCTTCCTCTCTTCGTCTCTTCCCTCTGTCTCTCTCTGTTTCTCTCTCCCTCCCTCTCCTTCCTGTCTCTCTGTCTCTCTCTCTTTCTCGCATGCTCTCTCTTCTTCTCTCTCCTCTTCCTTCTTTCTCTCTCTTCCTTATTACAGTAAATTTTCTTTGCTGAGACTTTCCCCCTTTACCTCCTTTTCAAATAATGTGCATGCCTACCAACATTAAGAAAAATCTGATTTCTTTCCTCTGTCCTTAGAGCAGTAATTATTTTCTGACTTATAATGTCAAAAAAAAAGAAAGAAAGAAAGAAAGAAAGAAAAACTGACAGACAGCATTGTGATTGCACAGGAAGAAATGGAACTTTTAAAAACTGGGCAATAAGCTTTGTAAGCTGCAGTATAAGGTTAAATTCACATTAACATCTAGCATATATATATGTAATGTATATATATCGTCATGCAAAAATAGGGATATATTTTAATATAGAATTGTATTCTTTTCTCTTCCTTCTCCAAAAAAAAAAAAAAAAGGCACATCTTCGGCTTCCACCTCCCTTAGTTATATACAGGATGTTCCTTTTAAACTCTAATGAATACAGATGGAGGAGGAAATGAGGAAAAGGAGGAACCAGGAAATAGCTGCTGAGCAAAACAAAATATATTAGCAATTTGTTGAGGAGTCAGATTGGAAGGGCTGCGTTTTCAGCCCTTGATCCGAGTGCTGAAATCGAGACTGTCCTAGATACATATATTACTAGCAAATAGAATTATCTTAATCATCTGCTCCAAATGAATTTTTTTCAAGGTTCTGCATACGTATGTGGAAGAAAAAAATACGGATCAAGCTCCCCCTATTAGTATAATTCTATGAGGATTCAGGGGAGGTTCCGTGGCGTTATTCCCTGGCAAGTTCAATGACAGCACTTTCAGTGAAATGTCAGTCACTGTTTGCCATTGAATTTCATAGCTCAACAAATTATACCAAACAGGATCTAAGACTTAACACTTCTCCCAGTGAGTTTTCAGCTGAACAAGATTATGCATTGTTCAAAGCCTGAAATAGACCCATTTAATTATTTTGTTATGTTTTCTGTGACTGTCACAGGACAAAAAGCTTGCAGAAATATCTTTAGGTAATATTATTGCCGTTTTTAAGAACGTGAATAATGAATTCAAACAAATCTATTTGAGAAACAGCACGCTTGAAGAAAGTGCTTGAACCTGAAATTTTATCGAAAGGTACACTTTGTAGCTGAGGTCAGTTCCCTGCAACTATAATTTATCTTCTCACCATCTGCAAAGAAGATCAGGCTCTATTCTGGTTTTGCTATTTTCACAAGCAACTCTTGATGAATAATTAGAAAAGAAATGGCAGGCGAGCTGGACAACACTGCCATTAGCAAACCGATATGACCATAAAGGTAATAAATGCTGAGAAGACCAGAGTTTTTAAAGGTGGCTCTGAGACTGAGACCCACACACTGCTGAGTGGTTGACCATTGTGACTAAGTTCTAGGATGTCTAATCAGCTCAACAAAAATAGTCTAACTGGTTTAAGAGTCGTTTGTGGAGACACAGACAGAAGGACATGGCGAATTAAGGCCATGATATTGGTAATGAACTCGATGGCACCACTACTATTTTAAAAGAGGGATAGTCAAGGATCCTCAAAGCCATAGTTTGGGGAACAATCCTTGCGTTACTGGATTCTGGATTCCAGTGGTAATTCTCTTTGCCTCTGATTGTCAAAATTCTGAACTTTCTTACTGACAATGCTGAACCATTCTCAGCCCGATACAAGCCCTCCTTTGTAACAAACTCCCCAAAGCAACAGATACAAACGGTCTCTTCCTGGAGGGCGACTTGTGGAGAGGGTTGGTTATAAGTGATTACAGTTTGAACGTTTCACGATTGTTTCTAATTTGCTGTTCATTCTTTTAAACCTATCCAGTTGCTCCCAAATTAGCTTTGTCAACAGTTTCTTCTGTTCAAGTTGCAAACCACAAGAGAGGTAGGAATTCTTGGATTCATACAGTGATTTCATGGTGTTCTGTGTTGTGAAACTTTGCACTGTATGAATCTGGAATATCTGTGAAGTGTACCCATCAGCTTATTGGTGAGGCATGTTGATGATACCAATCGTGCATCGAAATAGTGCCAAGAATGTCATCCATGAGGAAAAAGAAAATGCTTCACTCAGAAATTCACCGCAATTAAAAAAAAAAAATGCCACAACCTTTGTTTTCTGAAAGATTAACGTGTGAATAAGAATTACAACAGTCGAGGGTCCTGTTTAGACCATGAATGCTAGAGCGCTAATGTAGATACTCTTTGGAAAGGAGAGAAACCCACTGAGAGTGAGATTCAAGGATGCTTTTCTGAGACCAGAATGGCAGGTTCTATATGTGGTACCCAATTTACTTCATGACAAATGCAACACCTTGGAATTGATACTTCAAACATTATCTTAAATACATTTTAAAAATACCAGTGAAGATCTGGCCTGGGTTAAGCGTTGCTTATGATGTGAACATAACAGTTATATGACTTTCTTTAAATGAAAGTGAGCAGTAGCTCAGCCATGACTCATGAATGGCCCATTCCAGCTAGCATCTGTCATTCACAGAATGAAGATTTTTCAGGAAACATAAAGACTTCTGTTTTTATTTCACCATTTTCCTTTAAATGTCCTGTATAACAGGTGTGTCTTGTTTTCCACCCTTGACTGTTGGGCATATGTTGCTTTTTGGTTTTATTTTGATTTTCTTTTTTTTTTTTTTTTCATGAAATCAGTCTTACAAAGGAATAGACTTACTAATAAAATCTTAACTTACCCACTTGGTGAAAATCGCCAACTTGGTGACAGTGAGTGATCTTTGGTGAAACTGAATAGCTTCTCTGCTTCCTATTGAATTTAGTCAAGTGACTGTCTAGCTTGTTGACTTTGTCCTGTGGTACCCAGCGGAGAGGAGGA